GGATGGATGGATGGATGGATGGATGGATGGATGGATGGATGGATGGATGGATGGATGGATGGATGGATGGATGGATGGATGGATGGATGGATGGATGGATGGATGGATGGAAAGATTGATTAGTTGGTTGGTTATTTGGTTGGTTGAATGGTTGGTCGGTCGGCTGGCTGGTTTGCCGGCCTGTCGATAGATGGATATATGGATGAATGGTTGGATGAATTGATGGATGGATTGATGGATGAATAGATGGATGGATGAGCAGATGGATGATCGATGACTAGTCGTCACTTATTTTTCCAGCTGATTAATATTTCATAATAGTAGAGTAGAGGGTAATAGTAAACTAAACAGCCCAAGGTAACAGCAGATGAATATCTTTTGTTGTTATTGTCAACTTTTTTGCTGCGAACATTAATGACGTCACTATCAGTATGGTAGTTACGAGTTATGAACGTCATCTTTTTCGTAGCGACGTCATCATTATTTTCATCTTCGTCTTCATCTAAGTCACGTGGTTTTCGTCGTCATCATCGTCGTCGTCGTCGTCATCACTTCACAGATATATAATTACTTTCTGTCACAACGCGAGGAGCTACTGCAGAATGTAAAGTCGAACTATCATGACTCTGTCAACAGCAACAACAACAACATCAGCAGCAGCGACAACAACAAAAACAGCAGCAACGACAACAACATCAGCAGCAACAACAACATCAGCAGCAGCAGCAGCAACAACAAATTATTCAGAGAGTTATTTTTAAAGTTGGAGTCGTCAAAATTGTGCTTTATTCCGCTAACAGCATTCCTCATCAAACCCTACCATAGGCTGAGCCACTATGCACTAATGTTGTCGAGTTAGTCTTTTGCCTTTTTGTGGCTGGTTGTGGGTGTGGCAGGGCCGTATTTGAGACAGGGCGGGCGGAGCGGGAGTACTATTTCGTGGCCTTCACTAAAAAGGTCCCCTTAGAGGCCTCAAATAAGTATTTTGGGCCCCCCAGAAAAAATTACAGGCCTTCGCTAAATAGTCAGGGGCTTGGACTTTTTCGTTCTCGCTGGGCTTGCTTCTAAACTTCTAAATACGGCCCTGGATGTATTGTATTGTTGATGTTGTTGTTGCTGTTGTAGTTGTTGTTGTAGTTGTTGTTGTTGTGGTTGCTGCTGTAGTAGTAGTAGTAGTTGTTGTTGTTGCTGCTGTAGTAGTAGTTATTGTTATTATTATTGTTGCTGCTGTAGTAGTAATAGTAGTTGTTGTCGTCGTTGTAGTAGTAGTTGTTGTTGTAGTTGCTGTTTTTGTTTCACTGTCATTCTTTGTTATTCATTGTAATTTTTTATTGCAGAATTTATCAAGATATATGATAAGGATCACCCGGATTTGGAAAATTGTGAAGGTGACGATGACGATGATGATGATGGTGACGATATGATGACGATGATGACGATTGTGGTGGCTGAGATGATATTATTTCTAAATATTATTATTAGGTTAATCATGATTTAATAACGGATGATGATTAATTATCACAATTATTTTCTAAAAATTATCAGTCTTTTTGTTTGTAAGAACATTCTTATCTCTCTGTCTCTCTCTCTCTTTCTCTTTTTTCTCTCTCTTTCTCTCTCTTTCTCTCTCTCTCTCTCTCTCTCTCTCACTATCTTTGTCGACATCATCGTAGCCATCAGCAACGTCATCACTGACGTCATGATATAATGATAATTTTTCTCTCACCAGAGACGAGATTAGCAATCTTAGAAGTGTGCAACATTTTTCGGGAGAACAACGTGGATATTGTTAGTGGCGCTGACGACGATGACGATGATAAGGATGGCGATGGATGTGATGGTGATAATGGTGATGATGCTATTGGGAATGATTCATAAAAACATGATAAAAATATGATATATATGATCATTCTGGAGTTAATGGCTGCATTCAAACCTGGTATCTACTCTAGCTAATGACTCTTCTACCTGTTGAGCTAACACTAATTGAGTTAATGATATGCAGTGTTTTATTCTACAGCTTTATCTTTATTCTTTCTCATACTTCATGTGATAAGCGGGAATCTTTTTTGCTTGCATTTGAAACCAGTCACTGAGACACCATTGTCAAGCGACTTAACCATTACACCATCGCAGTTGAGAGTGCAATTATTTTTTTAATTATGGATTTAATTATTTTTAAATAATTTTAAAATAAAAGGAGAACCAGCAAAAGTTGTTTGAGCTACAGCAAGAAGTCATTGGCATGTCAACCATGATCAAATCCGATGTTGTAAGTATTGATGATGATGATGATGATGATGATTTGATGCGATGATAGTGATGATGATGATGATGGTGGTGGTGGTGGTGGTGGTGATGATGGTTATAATGATGATGATGATGGTAATGAAAATTTGGCGATGATGATGATGGCAAAGATGACGAATATGATGATGATTAAGAGATGTTTGTTATCTATAAGATGGTGCTTGGATGGCGTTAATTAACATAAGTTAGTTATATCATCCCATGATCATAAGTTATTTATATCAGTCCATTATCATAAGTTAGTTATATCATCCCATGATCATAATTTATTTATATCAGTCCATTATCATAATTTATTTATATCAGCCCATGATCATAATTTATTTATATCAGCCCATTATCATAATTTATTTATATCAGCCCATTATCATAATTTATTTTTACCATCGTCATTGCCTGCTTCTCAATTATCATTGTCACTATCAAAATCACCACCATCGTAGTCTCTGTCATCGTCTTTATTACTATCATTATCATCATCGTCGTCATCATCGTCATCATCATCATCGTCAGAAATTCATAAGAGAAGGATGCCTGCAGAAACTTTCAGGAAATGGGTACCATCAAAGACTCTTTATATTGGTCAGTGATGATGATGATGATGATGACGGTTTTTATAATTAAGATTATTATTATGATTGTTATTATTATTATCATTATCATTATTATTATTATTATTATTATTATTATTATTATTATTATTATGTTCCTTCTTAAATTGTGCATTATGTTAATTTTGTCATGAATTATAAATTTACTTAGAAATTGTGTTAGAATGAACAATTTGTGAATGGGGGCCTGCGACACAAGAATTTTGTTTTCTTTTAGCTTTGGTCTCCTAATCATTACCTAATTATTATTAATTTGGATTGATTGAATAAAATTTGATTTGATTTGATTTGATTCTCACAGCTGAATGACAGGTTGATATACGCCAATAGGACCCCGATGTCTTCTAACAGTTCGAAATTCTACGTTTGTGGTAGTGTTCCTCTGTACTGTATGCAGGTTGGTTTTGTTGGATGAATGGTTGGTTGGATGGTTGGCTGGTTGCTTGGTTGGATGGATGGTTGGTTGGATGGATGGTTGGTTGGATGGTTGGATGGTTGGTTGGTTGGTTGGTTGGTTGGTTGATTGGTTGGCTGGCTGGTTGGATGGTTGGTTGGTTGGTTGGTTGGCTGGTTGGTTGGTTGGTTGGTTGGTTGGATGGTTGGTTGGATGGATGGATGGTTGGTTGGATGGTTGGTTGGTTGGTTGGTTGGCTGGATGGTTGGTTGGTTGATTGGCTGGATGGTTGGCTGGTTGGTTGGTTGGTTGGTTGGTTGGTTGGTCAATTAATGAGTTGTTTGGTTAAATGTATTGATAGATAATAAGACGTTGATAGTAATAATAATAGTTATGCCGTTCAATTGTTGATACGTTCGCTCATTTATCTTTTTTAACTTCCACTTTTTAATTCTTTTTTCCAGATCGAAACATACGCCAACTCGGCTGACGGCAACAACAACAACTGTAACAACAACAACAGCAGTAATAGAAGCCACTCAAACAGAAGCCTACATCAACAACAACAACAGCAACAACAACTGAAAGAAAATCTCGCAATCAACAACGCATTCATCATCAAAATTCAACTGCAACAACAACAACAACAACGTCAAAAACATCAACAACAACAACACAAATTTATAGAGGTGGCCGCCAGTTCATCTCTAGAGAAAACCAAGTGGATCGAAGATTTGAACAGGGCTATCACAAATGCCAAATATGTACATAGACAATCAAAAAACAGTGCAGCTACTGCTGCTACTACTACTACCACCACCGCTACTACTATCACTACTACTACTACTACTACTAACAGTAACGTTAACGATAAGATACATAGTTATAGTAACGAATACGTTGATGATGAAGATGGTGACGTCATGATATGTTAGTAGTTTTATAGATTCTTCGGTCGGTTGTGATTATGATGATTGTGGTTGTGGTGATGATTATTGTGATGGTGGTGATGATGATGATGAAGAAGATGATGATAATGTCTTATGATGATGATGATAGATTAATTTCCTTGGTGATAATATTCCTAATGATGTTGTTTAGACCATACTCACTCACACACACGCAGTTGATTCGACGGACAACTTGTTTGGGAACATCATCAACGACATCAACAATTACAACAACACGTCACCTTTGCTGTCGCCATTATCGCCGACAACAACAACATCATCAACAACAACAACAGCAACAACATGGTCGTCGTCACAGCTATCATCATCGCCTCATCATGCTAACACTCTTATGTATGTTTGCTGGCACCGGAACACCAGTGTTAGCATGTTTGAGAGGAGTCTGTCCATGAAGGTGGGTCTGGCTGTCTACGTCTGTCTGTCTGGCTGTCTGCTTGTCTGTTTGGATCTAGTTGTCTGGGTTTTGTGTTTGTCTTGTTTCCTGGTTTCATGTACCTGTATGTCGTCCGTATGTCTGTCTGTTGTCTGCGTAATTATTTGTTTATTCATTCGTCTATTCATTCATTCATTCATTCATTCATTTGTTTTTTTATTCATTCACCTAGAATTTTCTCAGTGGTTTTCTATTGAGAAAGTTCAAGAACAGTTCAGGATGGCAGAGATTATGGGTGGCATTCTCCAATTTCTGTCTCTTCTTCTACAAGTCTTATACTGTTAGCTGCTGGCTGGTTCATTCATTTGCCCGTTCATTTGTTCATTCAATCGTTCATTCATTCATTCATTCAATCGTTCATTCATTCATTCAATCGTTCATTCATTCATTCATACACGCTTTAATTTGTAGAATTAATCATTTATTCCTTCGTTCATTCAGTTTGTTGATCATTAATTTATTCACTCATATATACTGTGATTCTGCTTTCATTCATTTAATAATTTACATAATTTATTCAGGATGAATTCCCATTGGCCAGCTTACCCTTACTCGGTTATTCAATCAAACCCGTGGACCAATCAGAGGGCCTCATGAAGGATCACGTCTTCAAGTTGACCTTCAAAAACCACGCCTATTACTTTAGGGCCGAGAACCAGTACACTTACTCAAGGTCAGATGGTGGTAATAATTAATAGTTATCTAGGTAATGATGATAGTATCATTATTGTTATTATTATTATTAATATTATTATTATTATCATTATTATTATTATTATTATTATATATTACGAAAATAGTTTGAAAATAGGATCATTGTATAAAAGAAGTGTTCCCATATGAATTTATGTTTGAAGGCTGACTTTAAAAAACTGTTTAATTTTTCTAAAAACATTAGAAATAACTCCGATAGACTTTTTCAATATTTTGAATTTGACGCTAATTAAAAATTCATGGCCGATTTCATTTTATTAACATATTAATAGACTCTGTAATTAGATCGACCAATGCTATTTTACTTACCAATACTTCATGGCCCACTTGTCCTCGATAATGAGCATTGTGGTTTTTATTGAACATTATTACATATTTTTTTTTTAATTACTTTTATCTTTCATTTTTAACGACTTGGGTTGAAATAAAAAAGTTTCTATTGTTATTATTGTTCGTATTATTGTTATTCAGGTGGTTGGAGGTGATTAGTTCCACCATTGAATCCTCCCATCATTTTAGACTCTTCAGCAGGGCGGAGAGCTTTCCGCACTCTTCTTAGAAATTGAATTAACTTTTAAAAATTCAATTTAATCATTATTTTATCTATGCTAACGTGTGTTGTTGTTGTTGGTTGGTTGGTTATGACGGTGTCAACATCGTTGGCAAGAATGACGTCATTCATATTGTTGTTGTTGTTGTTTTTGTTGTAGTTGTTGTTGTTGTTTTGGTTGTTTTCTTTTAGCTGATACAACTGCTGTTAATTTATTTTCAAATGATTTTGTTGGCGTTGAGAGAGTATCTATTTTTATTGTGTATCATGTTTTAAGTTTTTATCTTATCTTTCTCTCTCTCTCACTCTCTTTCTCTCTCTCTCTCTCTCTCTCCCTCTCTATCTTTCCTTCTCTATCTTTCTATATCTTTCATAATACTGTGCAGATATTGTTTTAAATGTTTTTTTTATTTCAGTTTCATGATGTAATGATGATAGTTAGTAGTTCATGGTGGATTCATTCTTTTGTTTGTTCATTCGTTCGTTCATTCATTCATTTGTTCATTCATTCTTTTTTTATTCATTCATTCTTTTTTTATTCATTCGTTCGTTTGCTCATCTTTCATTCATCATTTAACCTTTTCATTTCAATCAATGAACCTCAGTGATGATGATATTACCGATTGAGATGGCGAGTCGGTATCATCATCATTATCATTACTATTATCTATATCATGAATGAATGAATGAATGAATGAATGAATGAATGAATGAATGAATGAATGAATGAATGAATGAATGGACGAATGAATGAATGAATGGACGAATGAATGAATGAATGAGCGAATGAATGGACGAATGAATGAGTGAATCAATGAATGAATCAATGAACGAATGAGTGAATATATATAAATATATATATACATATACTTATGTGTGCCTTTATTAAATGCAATACATGTGTCATATCATATATTGAATGTGTTTTACATATAGCTGGAGTTCTTATGTGTTATTTTTTGATGGTATATAGAGAATCGAAGAAAATTATTTTAAAAACAATTTTAATATAATTTTTATTTAATATTTTTTTGGCTCTATTGTTTTTTATTAGTTGACTGCATTTTTAGATGTGTGTGTGTGTGTGTGTGTGTGTGTGTGTGTGTGTGTGTGTGTGTGTGCTTGTGCTTGTGCTTGTGCTTGTGTATGTGTGTATGAATGCAATTTGTTTATTTCTTCCTAGTAACTTAATATCATCTATTGATGTTAATTTTCATGATGATTAGTAAGAACCGAACTGTTCAATCTGTCAATTGATTGTGTCTCAACCAATCATTCAATCAATCAAAGATTCATTCAGCTAATCAATCAATCAATCAATCAATCAATCAATCAATCAATCAAAGATTTATTAATCAATCAAGGATTCAATCAATCAACTATTCAATCATTCAATCAAAGATTCATCCAATTAACCTATCAATCAATCAATATTAGTATATATATATATATATATATATATATATATATATATATATAGATTCGAATCACTTTCTTAATAATTTTCTTGGGTCCATATGTTATGTGATTTATGTTAAGATGATGATGTTATGCTTATATATTGTATGTGTGTACGTACGTATGTGTGTGTGTGTGTGAGTGTGTGTTTGTGTGTGTATGTTTGTGTGTGTGCGTGCGTGTGTGTGTGTCAACTTCTAATGAATTTTATAATGGATGCAGTTGTAAATGGGCTTTTTTAAAGGGTTTTTATTTATTTTAAAGATAGTTTTTTAACTTTTTTAAATATTTTATAAGTTTTTTTTTCAAGAATTATTTTCTTTTTTAGCGATTTTGCAGAAATTTTTTACTGAGTTTCTAATTGATTGATTAATTAATTAGTTAATTAATTAATTAGTTAATTAATTAGACTTTTAAATTTTCTTATTTCATAAGGTCGGTTGTAGTAGTAATAGCCGGTTAATTGAATTTTGTATTCATTTTTTTCATTCATAGTTCATTCATTCATTCATTCATTCATTCAATTTCATTCATTCACTCATTCATTCATTCATTCATTCATTCATTTTTCAGTCATTCGTTCAATCATTCATTTCTTTTTTCTATCCGTATACATATATATATTTAAATGTAGCATGTTATTCATATGTAGGGGAACATGTATTTTCTTTGTGTGCGTGCGTGTGTGTGTGTGTGTACGTGCGTGCGTGCGTGTGTGTGTGTACGTGATGTGGTATGTTTTGTGTGTTTGTGTGTATGTGTGTTTGAGTGAAACAAAGTTTCCGTAGTTATAGTGTAAAGGGGTTAGTGTTTAATGCTTAATGTGATGCGGTTATGAGTATGTGATTATGGTTTCGAGAGGATGAAGATGATGATGAGGAGGAGGAGGAAAATGATGATGATGATGATTGGGATTAGAATGATAATCATGATGATGATGATGACGATGATGATGAGGATTTTTAAACCTAAATTCGCACGAATGCATGTACGTATTTGTGTAAATTTGCGCATTTTCTTATATTCTAAATAGTGTATGATTAAATTTTTAGATGTAATTATGACGACCGTATATATATATATATATATATATATATAGAACAGTTTACATATATATATATATATATATATATATATATATATATAAATACGTCTTGTTTTTTTTCGTTTCGGTTTTCTCGAAATAAATAACGAAACCAAAAAGAGATAATGAGCATTATCTGATGAGGATCATGATTTATTACAATTATTGCAATTTTCAATAGTTTAATTATTACAATTACAATAATTTAATTATTACAATTACAATAGTTTAATTTAGTTGGTCATAAGGAGAGTGTTTGTGAATTTTGCTAGGTTAAAATTTCTTAGTCATCGTTTTTCAGAAGGTTAACTTATTTATCCAACCAATTAATTAATCCAATTAATTAATCCAATTAATTAATTAATGAGATAATTTACGCTACAAGCGTCCAGTTGACTGGCCGTCGATTGTGGCAGGTAGAAGCCGCTGATAACGGAATCTGTCAATTTAACAGTGCAGACAAATGAAACACATACATACACACATATATACACAAACATACATACACATACATACACACACACACAGTAATTACTTGGTTCGTAGTATCTGTAAGTTTTAACAAGAGCCGCCTTGACACCGTTCACAATTTGGTTGGCAGTCATGCTCACTTTGAAGCATATTTCTTTCTTTGTGAGCTGTTTGTTTGTAAATGTTTATACTACTACTATTGCTACCACCACTACTACTACTACTACCACTACTGCTGCTGCTACTACTACTACTACTGGAAATGATGATTTCGGTGATACTAAATGATGATTGTGATGTAGAAGTTTAAGATGATGACGTGATGATGATAATGGAGATAGCAAGATGATGAAGATGACAACGACGAATTCGGAACAAACCTCGTCTAGGTAGATTGCCAGTTGCCCCTTATTAAACTCAGCCCTCTTAAACCCAGCCCCTATCTGAGTTTGCAGATTTTCGACGTATCCATCTATCGGGACGTATCCGGTTAACATGTTCACTTCCGTCAAAACCATCCCACTCGATCCATTTCCTGTCCAACTGTTGGGATTTTCTTGAATTTTACGTCGGGCGAGATTTTTTTTGATGATAATTTGAATGAGTGGCTGACCGACTGACTGAATGAATGAATGTATGAATGAGTGAGTGAGTGAGTGAGAGAATGAGTGAGAGAATGAGTGGGTGAGTGAGTGAGTGAGTGAGTGAGTGAGTGTGTGAAAGAAAGAATGTATGGAAAGTATGTTAGTGAATGACTGGACAAAGAGCGGGCAAATTGGCGAACGATCAAACAAACGAATGAATGAATGAATGAAAAAGCCGACGAACGGAAGAACGATGATTGAATGAATGATGATTGAATGAATAATGATTGAATGAATGATGATTGAATGAATGATGATTGAATGAATGATTGACATGTTCAAACCTGATGCAGATTTTCAATGTTAGCCGGTTGTCATTATTTTCGACGGACAACTTTTGTGTAATTTTTTTATCATCATATGCCAGTTTAACGTTGTATTTAACGTTCATCTGGTGAATGAATGAATGAATGAATGAATGGATGGATGGATGAATGAATAAATGAGTGAGTGAATGAATGAATGGTTAGAATGTTAGATGAATGAATAACTTTTTATAAAATCTGCCCATCAAATCGGTTGCTTCACTCAAGTCATGTCCGAAATTTTGAATAATTGAACGAATAAATAGATGAACGAATGAACGAATAGAATAATAAAATTCAACTTGAATCAGAGCAACTCCATTTCCTTTAGCTGTAAATGTGACTTTACTTGCATTTGCCGGCAACTGTAATGTAATAATCAGTCCATTATATTTAAAATAGCTATACGAAGTCCTCGTTAGTATAGTGGTAAGTATCCCCGCCTGTCACGCGGGAGACCGGGGTTCAATTCCCCGACGGGGAGATATTTTTTTAGAAAACTTTATTTATTTTAACTTAATGTTTACAATTTTTTTTAATAAATTAATTTCCTAAATAAATGAATATGTATAAACAAATAAAATATAAATAAATATAAAACGTCACATGAGCGCACACATTCGCACGCACTTGTGTCGACTGCAGTAAGAGTGCATTGAAACGTGTGATGGTCGTGAAGTTGAAATACTCATTATCCCCATCTTGAGTGACGTAGACACTGAGGCCAGCTGATGAGGAGGAGGGCTGCGGGTTGACCATGCGGGCAAACATTGCCAGGGCTTCTAATCCAAGTACTGTGTCCTGTGGCGTGTGTGTGTGTGTTGTGTGTGTATGTGTTGTGTTGTGTTTTGTGTGTGTGTGTGTGTTTGGCGTGCGTGTGTGTGCGTGCGTGCGTGTGTGTTTGTGTGTGTGTGTGTGCTAGTATATGCTTGTGAAATATTATTGAAATAAAAATAAGATGGTTAATAAGTTATTCTTTCAGCATTTGGTTCTCCTTTTATGTGAATAACAGAGTAATATTTGCATACGTAAGTTGTGAAAAGCTGAACGTTTCAAGTTAATTTCCAACACTTTACTAGAAATCCTTAAAGATGAATTCAACTACAAAAGCAAGAACAAAAAAAGTGAAATCCATCAGGTATCAAACTTGGCGAACCTGCGTAGAGCTAAATCCGCCATTGCTGTTCCTCTGTTTGATCAGCCACTTAGCTACGGGAGGACTTCTGGAGAGATCGCCGCGGTTGGCATACACCCCGGGAACGTAGGCAGCTGTCTCGATGGTGGAGCTCTGTGGGCTGTTTTACTTGGGGGTCCATCCATTTATTGACGGCACATCAGAGACTGAGATTTATTTCCAATATATCTCATGGTCTCTGTATTTCGAATTGGGTATGTGAAATGTCGTAATTTGAAGATTTTTTTCACGGGTTGTTAGTTTTGTTTTTATTCAATATACCATATGGGAGTGTGCTGATGACGAATAGTTACATTTCTCGGCCTGGATTCGCTATGACCGGGTTGGAATGCAAAGAGATCTCAATCGCCTATCATAATTTTCTGTTTGTCGAAATTCGAAGTCACCCGTTAAAAAAATTGCGCTATATAACATAACAAAATGCCTGCAAATCTTAATAAATTACTCAGCTAAAAAATTCATTCTCTTCGGCAAAACACTTCAGAAAGGAAAAATTCATCAACCTTCAGACACAGAAGTTTGATCGAGAAGCATTAAGACGGAATCCAGATGGGAACTGCCAGACAGATAGAAGGCATACGCTATGATCGACAGTGCGTAAGAATTCGTAGCTAGGGATGAATATTTCCCCTCTAAATATGTCACTGCCAGCTGAATGCTTGCTTGTAAGGTCGTAGAACCAGACTAGAATCGAATGAGGTTTTACGAAAAAAAATTTTTTTTCAGTGTTATTCCTTTATAAAACCCGACTCTGATATGTACAACTGCTGAATCTTGTACAACATGCAAACCATTATCACATTTATATAATTTAAATAAATGAAAAAAAAAACAATTTATTTCATCGGAAAGAAATTGTTTCAAATTGAGAAAAACCAAAACCAGAAAGGGAGCTAACTAAGGGTACGTTCTTATTATGAAGAAGGGCGATCAAGACGTAGGCTGTCAAGGCCACACCCGATCCAGACCCACCCTAATAAGTAACATAATTAATTAATTAATTAACATGATTAATTCAAACGTATCAGATCATTGGATACTGTTCATATTGCAACATCACGTGACAGTTACCTGCATATCCGTATGGATGACCCTGCCAAGTGGAGGCTCCGCAAAAGACCCATCTGCGGCCTGCAGTGGAATGATGAAGTTCAGCGTCTGGGCTATTTTAGCGTCATCTATCGGGATGTAGTCATGTGCCTGTCTGAATACTTTGATCACCATGGAGCTGAGCCTAAATGGTGTGGTTGTTTCACCATTATCGTCATAGGCGTCTTTATCATAGTGGTCATAGCCATCGTTGTTAGAAAACAGACACAAAAACAGACAGACAGACATGCAGACAGACAGACATACATACAGACATACAGACAGAGAAATAGACAGACAGTCAAACCCAAAATTACAGACACACTCACCAAATGCTACCGGCTGGATCACTGTTGCCGAACGCGCTGAAAGATCCATCAAATCTTTGATAAGTTAATTCTTTCTGGTAACCTTGGAGTATAAAACCTTTGGCCTTGTTCTCGATCTCAGAAGTCAGCTGGTTACTGAGGGTCAGGTAGATGAGGATGTAGACATCTGGAGCCATGGTTAGAAGGTTCTGCTCCCCACACCCGTATGGCATTTGCAAGAGGCCATCCAGGTTTTTTATGCTGGTACCAAGGATGTCGCCTTCATGTGGAGGTGTGGCGTGGTGTGATGTGGTGTGGTTTGATATTATGATGACAAAAGTGATAGGATGATGATGATGGTGATTAAAAGCAACGTGATGACAGGATGGCAAAAGTTAATTAACTAGAATTGAAATAGTATTAATGTTGATGACACTGGAAAAGGTGATTTATTTGACATCATCAATGAAACGTCTTGACGTTTTACTCAGATAGCTACTGATTTTCTATTTTCAAATCATTTTTACAGAAAATAAATTAAAAAACTTTGTTAAATCGGAAAAAAAAATAAATTTGAAATTTTTCAAACCAATAACGGTAGCTTCAATAACGACAGATCCCTCAACGAGGATATTAGCCGGGGGCAGGGTCACGTCAAAGGTCAACTTGGATGGGTCGTTGGATGGCATGCGTATGAGGGAAGAGGTGCTGTAGGATTGGGCGGCTCCCTCAGGCTTGGGTCGGGGTTGGATGAAGTTCAAGGTTGAAGTAATTGGGATAGTTTGAGGAAAAAAATTATGAGGATTGCGTTGATGTTATTATTAATTTGTATATAAATAGTTTTAAGTTAAGTCTTAATTGTATATTTTTAAATAAAATAATTGGTTTATATATTTATTTATCAATCTATTCATCTGCCGTAAAATTATTCGGCCAATCTCAATCGTCTTTCTTAACTGTTAACCTATCTCCGTAACGAAAAGATTTAAAAATGTCATGATTTAAAATATTCAGCCAATCACAATCGTCCAACTAAATGATCACCCAATCACCTTAACGAGGAGATTCATAATGACCGCATCGCCGGCCAGTGGCGTTGTTGCTTTCACTTGAATGGAGACCTGGCCGAGAGCAGTTGGAACAATCCAGAAATACAACGTTGCTACGTCATTCTTCTTCACCTGGATCAAGGAATGGATGGGTGTATGATGAATTGATGAATGGATGGATGGATTGATAGATGAATGGATGGATTGATGAATGAATGAATATATTGATGACGACTACGATGATGAAGAAGAAGATGATAATAGCGATAAAGGAGAAGATGAAGATGGTGATGAGGAAGATGAGGATGATGGTGATGAAGAAGAAGATGATAATGAAGAGGAGGAGGAGGAAAAAGATGATAATGATGACAAGGAAGAAGATGATGATGACTAACCTTCACAATCTTGACGACGGGGTACGTGCTAACATTGGAAACGACATTCTTCGCACACTCGCTAACTTTGTAATACGATGATTTTGGTAAGGATACACTTGCCTATATCATGATGATGATGATGATGATAAAGATGATGATAATGATAAAGATGATGATAAAGATGATGATGATGATGTGGTGGTGGTGGTGGTGGTGGTGGTAATAACGATGCTAACGATGACAATGGTGGCGATAATAAAATCTCTGAATATAAAAATTGGACAACTTCGCTACCAACATCAACGTCTTGGTCGAGGTAGTTGAAGATTGTGACCTGGAGGGCAAATTGTTCACCCCTTATGACCGAGTATGGTAGGTTCAGGGAGATGAAAAAGGGCTTCAAGACTGTTATCTGATTGGTTGGTTGAGTAATTGGGCGATTGTGATTGGCAGGCTGGTTAGTTTTGATTGGTTGGTGGATTGGATGGGTGATTGATTGGTTGGTTATGATTGGTTGTTTCATTGGTTGATTGATTGAATGGCGTAAGATGTCTGGCTAAGTTTTCAGATATGGTCTGCTAAAAACATCATACATATAAACTTTTTTTTAAAGCGAAAGCATATCCATAAATTCAACAACTTTCAAGTATTATTTATATTTTCTAAAAATATTTAATAATTTTTTTAAAGATTTTTCACTAATTTCTTAAAAATAAAACTAAAAACTTTTGCAGGATTGTCAAAGACGCCCAAACCAGCGGTGTCGCTTGTAGCAAATGCAGTAGCCACCCAAGAAGTGATCGTATCAGGCACAGTGTACTTTATCGAGATTTTACCATCATCGCTAAAAAAAACCGGTTGATACATCTCATAAAGTTCATGAAAAATTCAAAAACAGAGACAAAAAATTATTTAATTTTTTTTCAACCGAATAAATGAACGAAACATAACGAGACATGACGAAACATAACGAAATATAACATAACGAAACGACACGAACTCGGAAACGACATCACTCCATATCCACGTTTCCGGGAAATCCTTCCTTGGTTTTGGGGATGTCGAAGATGAGGATGGTGATGAATCTAGCACTTCCGGTTGTCCTTTAGCCATCATCATCCTCATCATTGGTCTATCTAGGAACAAAAATTTTCCATTTGTTTCATTCACATCATTGTTAATGACGATGGTGATGTGATGACGTTAAAAAATTTTTATTTTGACTGTAAGTTTTGTTAGATTGTATTATTTTTTTTATTGGGTTTTGCGAAAAATGCAACAATTTTCTTTTTTGAATAAAAAATCCAAATAAGAACTTGTAAAAAAAAAAGCTGAATACCTCTGAAAAATATAAACCTGTCCTGCTCTTTGATAAAATAGTTGGTTAAGACGAATAAGCCAGCGTTCTGATCGTAAAAAATAATTGCGTTTCGATATTATTTAATTTTTTTGACAGAGTTCTTAAGACGATTTCATATATTATGAATAATTTAAGTTGGAATTACTAAAATGTCTTTGTAAAATCTGTCAAATCGGCTTCATTTTTTTTCGAGCATTAATTCTGTTGACGATGAAATATACCAAAAAACTAAATGAAAAATTTAAAAGAAAGGCACCTCGAGTAAAGATTGAGTGGAAACACCACCCAGCCAAATGGGGCACCACATTCTCCGGAACCAGAGATCCGGAGCGACGTATCCGTCACCATGGGCATATTTGCCGAGGTCGTTGAAGACCTATAATAAATTTTTTCAGTTTTATTAACTTTATCATCTAGAAAAATTTGCATCTAAACAGAGGAATATGAGTACCTTTAAAAAATATTAGTGGAAAAATGAAATTTATTACTACAGAGGATTTGTTTTATTGCAAGTATGTATGTATTTGTTAGCTATTTGTTTATTAGTTTGGCTATCAACCATACGCTTTCTATTGAAGTTTTCTGACTCAAAGTATTATTGCAATGTACATTAGATTGAGTGAAACCTTCAAATGACCAACAAACACCCACAAACAACCAAACAAGCCACAACAACAACAACAACAACAACCAGCAGTGGTGTGTGTTGAAGGTCGGTTAACTATGGCTCTCAAGCTAATTTTTGCAACATTTCCAAAATTTTGGCTAGATCCGCCACAGACAACAACACGCACGACTAACAATTTGTCTGTTGATTTCATTCTGAATACTACTCAGCAGCAGAACACTTTGGTCAACAGCCAGCAGCGAAACGTAGGAATGTGGTGAGGAGTTGACCCTCAAAACAACTGCCTTACCTGGTTCTGTGCTGTTTTTGCTGAACGATAGCGACACCTTTGGAGATAATTTTTAACATTTATTTAACGCTTAAAAATTGAATTTAACTATTTAAACGGCACGGTAGTGTAATGGTTAAGGTGCCTGACACTGGTGTTATAGTTACCTGGTGTGAATGCGAAGAAATTCTCACCTATAAATCCTTGCTTATAAATACATCATTTCACCAATCAATCCAAAGTTAAAACTCATCAGCAAGAACATTTAAATATAAATGCTCGCCAGCACCAAAACCATCACAGACCTTATTGGAAAAGTAATCCACAACGGATAGAGCCAGACTGTCGGCCACTAGTTCGCCAGTGGTGGTAACGTAGAAGACGACGACTCTGGCTTCTGGAGCTAACAATGACGCCAGTTCCGCTGTTATTTTGACTGATAGTGTGTGCAACTTTTTAGCGGAATTCGTCGATAACACATTGGAGTACTGGATCCCCCCTTTGCCCAGGAGCTTGAAAATGAAAATTTTAGTTGGTTGTTACTGTCCTTTTTGAGTCTGGTCAACGAGATGACCGTTGTTATTGGCGGGCGGCTGGCGACTAGTTAAAAGTGATAATCTGCGTTGGAAAATAAAAAGGCTAACTTGGTATTGAAATGATTTGATGGGCTCGCTGGAGTTAACGTGGAATCTCAAGGTTTGAGATGACTGGGAAATAAATTATTTATTTATTTATTTCATTAAATGATGATGATAATAACGCAATAATAATAATAATAATAATAATAATAATAATAATTTGTTGTTATTATTTATTATTTTTAATTACTTTCATTAACAAGCAATAAAAATTATTTTACAGCGCAGTGCTTGTTTGTTGCGTGATCATCAACAACATATGTGTGGCTAATGATAATAATCTTGACGATGATAATAAAAATACTACTACTACTACTAATACTACTATTACCACTACTACTACTTTTACCACCACCACCACTACTACTACTACTACTACTCCTACTACTACTACTACCACTTCTACCACTACTACTACTACTACCACCACTCCTACTACAACTACAACTACTACTACTACTACTATGACGACGACGATGATGAATATTTTAATACTAATATGAATAATATAGATGGTGAATTCATTACATTAAAAGTACAGTGCTGTACAAAACCTTGACAACTTGGTTGGGGTCAATGAGACTTATCTGAATCAACTTCCCATCTCTACTCTGAAAATTATTGGCCGACGTGTATCCGATTGACGTTGTGTTTGATAAGCTATCGTAAAATGACACCTTTGAGGAGTTTGTTAGAATTATTTTATAAATACTATTTACTGAAATGTTGTTATGAATGTTATTTTCCAGATTTACCAGATTTTTTTTTACCGTCATCGGTGTTTTCCAATTGTTAACGATGCAAACAGCCACACTTTTACATCGAGATATATTAATGGATCACTTTAATTATAGTTGCTCTATTATTACATTGACACGTATGAGAAATGTTGCGTTAGAGTAATGGTAAAAATTCCTGGTGGTACTGATGGTGCAGTAGCTTGGTTCGATTGCAAGGAGACACCCACCTATGGTGTCTGCAAGCAAAAACAGGTTGGAAATTCTCACCCCTTTATAAACTCACGTACTTGTGGATTCATGTCAACTTACTATATAAATGTATATACATATATAAAGTGGTCTTTGAGTTTTAGACAGGCAGTATTCGAACCCTGCCATCGCGTATTAGGGACGCGAGACAAGGCACTCCTACCGACTGAGCTAACTCGGTGACCATATGACTATTTGCTGCTGATACTTCTGAAAAATACAAAAATACTAAATAACAAATAAAAATATTGAAGAGAATACTAAATAGCATAAAAAGCAAATTAAAACCAAAATTTAAAAGTATTACCTCCAAAGAAATACTGGTTGTCAAGGCCTCAGTTTCAACGCTGAAAAGAACAAAACCATTTTGGGTCAACGAAACATTTTTGATTTCTACATGGGTCGTTGTTGAGCCTTGTTCAATAAAAGGCCTGAAGATCTTGGGTTTGATTGCAAGCACCACCTCATTGTCGTTGATATCTTCCATAACTGGAGTAGGTGCTGGAATGGTGTTTGTCAGGGTGATTTTAACCGTCAGGTTTTTGAAGTTTCCACTGGCGTCTTGGATGTCCGCCAACTTTGGCTCCGATTCATCTTTTTGGGTTAGTTGCACCTAGGAAATAGTTTGGGGAGATGGTTATTTTGAAATTTGGTTTTTTTCTAAATTTGCTGTGGATATTTAATTCCAGTTTGATAGCTGTTAATGAAGGTTCTAATTTTAAGTTTTTATGCTATATCAATCAATTTTTAATTTATTTAGAATAAAAAAATTAAATTAAATTCAATAAAATTTAATAAGAAAATAAAATCTAATCAAATCAAATAAAAAAAATCAAAAATCAAAAATTGAAAAACCGGCTTACATAAGCAAAGTATTTGAATCCGGGTTTGAAATTCTTCGGTGTAACATCTAGAAACTTCACGAGATATCGTTGGGATACAATCTCAACGGAACCTACTCCCGACAGAACAATCCCTGTTGCGGTTTCCGTAACGTCGACTGATACATTCAGGACTTGGTTGTCGAGAGTAAACCAGGATTGGGGTGGTTGCGGAGCTAGTGATGAAAGTTCTGCTACCGTCATCTTCAAATCTGCTTTTCCGTCTGTCAACTAACCAAATTTTCATTCAAATTCACGTAAAAATTTGTCATCTATTCATTTTACAAACTTCTAACATTTCCAAATAAAATAAACTCCCCAAAAGCACAACCTACCATCAAATTTTTTGTGATTCTAGGTTTTCCTTCTGCATAATAACTTTCCAATTCCAAGCTAACCATCGCCGATCCTTTTACTGGCTTCCCATATGTGTAACTGAATTAGTACATGTTTAACAATGTGTGTTTGTGTGTGTGTGTGTGAAAGAAAGAGAGAGAGAGAGAGAGAGAGAGAAAGTAAGAAAGTAAGAGAGTCAAAAGAAACAGAGACAACAAATAGGGAGAGAGAGAGGGAGAGATAGAAAGGGAAAGAGAGAGAGAGAGACAGAGAAACAACGAGTTCAGAGAATGAGATGACGAATTTTAAGGTTATCATCAGAAAAGTAGGTATATATTGAAGACAAGTAAAAATGATAAAGTAATAAAAATAAGTATCATCGCCGGCGCCTAACATGGCAGTGATGGTGATGAGAAGGTTATCTTGCTTGCTCGGAAACTGTTCGATCAGGTGGAAGTAGGGCGGTAAAATGACCTTGACCTCAAATTTCGGAAGAACTTTTCGTAGAATGAATAAACGAGTAATTGACTAAGCGAATAAACGAACAAATTTTAGAAGAAAATATAAATATTTAGTTGTGTATGCCTATGCGTGTGTGCGCGGTTTGGTGGTGTGTATGAATATGTGTGTTTATATATATATATATATATATATATATATGTGTGTGTGTGTGTGTGTGTGTGTGTGTGTGCGTGCGCGCGTTTGTGTGTGCTCGCGCTCACGCTATCTCAATCACTAACCGTATTCAGCCACTTGGATTGTTTTGGTCTCGGTTAGGCCCTGAGAAAATAAAATTTCAGGAATCATTGTTGTGTGTTCATAAAACTCTACGCTTTGCGTTTTTTGATACTTCTGAGGACCAATGCAGAGAGAATTGATAAGAGTAACAAAAATATTAGGTAAGGATAACAAAAATAATAATATCTTGAAATGTGAATAATAAAAATGTTGGCGGGAACTTGGGAGATGGCTTCAATCATCCAATCCCCTAGTGGGGTTATGTCTGAAAGTTTCAACTGACCACTGACAACACCTTTATCAAAATAAGTTTCATTAGCATTTTTGTTCATATTTATGATAATAATAATTTATGATAATATAATATAATAATAATAATATATAATAATCATTTATATTAATAACAATAATATAATAGTGTAATATAATATATGATATAATAATAATATAATCATTCATAATAATAACAATAATATAATATATACTATAATAATATATAACATAATATAATAATAATATAATAAGGTATAATAATAGCAGTAGCATTAGTAAGTTTTAAGCAGCTGTAGCAGTATTAACAGTAACGACAGTGGCCTCAGCAGCTAAAGTGGTTGCAATAGTAGCAACAGTTGATTATTGGTTAGAATACCTGAGTCATTCTTCGCGTTGAGCATTTGGAAAATTTTATTTCCATTCTGATCCTAAATTCAAAACATGTGTATGTATGTGTGTATGTATGTATGTATGTATGTTTGTATGTATGTATGTATGTATGTATGTATGTATGTATGTATGTATGTATGTGTGTATGTATGTATGTGCATGTATATGTGTGTATGTGTGTGTACGTATGTTTGTATGTATGTGTGTGTGTGTGTGTGTGTGCGTATGTGCGCATGTTGAAACGTTTTTAAATTAATGTATCATTAAATATCTTTCATTTGAAGATCGTAATGCATTTGAACCAGGTCACCCTGTCACTGCTTATAAACATTAGTGATTCGAACAACAGTTTTGCCAACTGAGCCATTTATCAACTACAATTGTTTTCATAAAAAATTTAGCTATATGAGATATTTTAGGTTGCAGTAATGAAGTGGTCTAACGTAGATCGTTATGTTGAAAGCTTCTTTGTAAGGTTTCAAGTTCGACTGAATTCCAAGAACACGAAACTTTACTGGAAAAAAGTAAAACAATCAAATAAAATAATTTGGGCTGCCTGATAGTGTAATGGTCAAGAAGCCTGACATCTTTGTCGCAGTAACCAGGTTCGAACGCAAAGAATGTGTGAGTTTGTGATGCTATGATTCACGTGTATTCATTGTGCCTTATGTTGCTAACTATACTAAATATTAAAGAGAGGTTTGTAAAACAAATAAAAAAAAAACAATATGAAAGAAATAAGTTATAAAAAGACTAATAAAATATTCAAATTCAAAAAGTTTGTACAGATTGAAGAACACATTTAGAACATATAACAAACTTCACATGCCACCCAACCCGTGATTTTTAGCCTACAAGTGAGAATGTTCCAAAACAACTGCACATAACCTAATAAGAAGGCCATTCAAAGACTAACTAACTTGTCTGGCCAGGCTTGTAGAGGTACTTGTCTGTTTGTATGAAGACGGAGTGAGTTTTCTGACTAACTGACAAATAGTGACTGTTGTTGAAACTTATCTTTCCACCACTTGCTGTCACTTTGAATGTGTAAGCAGTGTCAGGAAAATTGATTGGCACCTTTGGATAATTAAGGATATCTTTTCATTTGGTTAAATTCCGAATGTCTACACAGCTCTGCGTTTGACAGAGCTGCCAATGTTTAAAATCAAATTAATTAAATTTTTATGAGTCAATTCTTTTCTTTATTAATTTTAATTAATAAAGATATTAATCAGAAAGATTAAATTAAAAATAAAATAATTTAACTAACATTCAACGAAAAAGTCTGCAGTGAGGCTGGAAATTTTTTTAAAAAGTATAACGACTTTTATTAATTTATCGATTTATCGATACTTTTGTTTTAGAAAAATTTCATCGAAAATTGCAAATTAAAATTTTTTTAAATGTTTTAATTAAATTTTTCTTTCAAAAAAAAATTGAACAATATTATGACAAAATGTTGGTAGTGAATATTATTTATATTAATCAATAATAATATTAAATTAATCATTTAATTGAACCATGTACTACAGTAAACTCCTCTTCAACCAAAACGTCATTATCGTCTCCAGAGTTGACTATCTTTGCCAGTAGCGTGTAGCTACAATTATATAGAAAAAAAAAATTTCAAAAAATCAAATGTGAATGATTGGGGAAGTGTGTTTTTCTTTCAAAAGTATTATCTGATGGCAGAGATATCTTCTAAATTGAAGTTGTTGTCGGTAGCGTTCAGTGAAATGGTAATGTGTGTGGTAGTGGTAACCGTGCACGAACTACTCGCTACATTTGCCACAGGTTCATTGTTCGCACTTAAAAATAGGCCTATCCAATGAAAATTATCTTCAAGATAGGTATTTTTTAAAATATTTAGTTGTTTCGTAGTATTAGAAACAGTAGCAGTAATAGCAGCCGCAGTAGTAGTAGTAGTAGTAGTAGTAGTAGTAGTAGTAGTAGTAGTAGCAGTAGTAGTAGTAACAGCCGCAGCAGCAGCAGTAGTGGTAGCAGTCGAAGTTGTAGTATAAATAATAATGAAGTAGTTTACCTGACTGGATTTGGAACCCCATAAATTTGGACGCTGAAACTGTACGGGTGACCCGGCCTCAAACTGGTTGGTCCAACCACCGTGTAGTTCCTGGTATTGTTGTTATTACTATTACTACTACTACTACTACTACTATAACTACTACTACTACTACTACTACTACTACTACTACTACTACTACTACTACTACTACTGCTACAATTGATTTAATTTGGTATAGCGTATGTATTTACTAACGTATCAGCCGAAACTGAACCAAATAGAGAGAACAAGGTGAACAACAGGATGAACCAGGTGAACAGGGTGAACTTAGTGAACATGGTAAACGACGTTATTTGTCTCTACTGAATGTAAATAATTTGATTTTATCTGACAATCAATTTTTACCAAAAAATATTCAAGTAAGTATAGAAACAATCAAGTTGTCTTGATCGTCTGCTATTGCTTATGAATTTTCAAACATCGAAGTATTTATACCCCACCACACACACGCACACGCACACGCACACACCACGTACACACACGCACACACACACAAACACAAACAAAAAACACCCACACAATCGCAATTATATTTATAATTTATTTAAACTAACTACAATTAACAATGAAAACCACTAATATCATAATAATAGTAACATATAACTCATAATAATAACATGCAGTTACCGAATAAATAGAAAAATATTTTTCATTTAAATCACGTTTATTGGGAAATTTTTAAATGTAAATTTCATTACTAAAACGTGTTTATATCATAAATTAAAAACAAATTTCAATCAAATATGAATCACTCATCCAAATTAACAGTAAAATGCCTTTATTTGACTTTTCTTCTCAATAAACCCACAATTTTTATGTACACATTTTAGCTTATAATAGCTGAAAATAGATTAATACATACCATTTATTTTACAGCTATTTTTGTTTTCAAATTCTTAAATAATTTACTTCCCTCATTTTTTACTAACTTTAATACACTCAGTGAATCTGTTCAAACCCTCAAAACTAGACACACTACTATATTTTACTCAGTTAAAACTCGCCTTAAACTCATCTCTACAAGTTTAAAAACAACTGGCCCTAAAATTTGGAAATTATTTTTGCCCCATGCCATTCATAACATAACAAACAAGCAACTCTTCAAAAAAAGGTTGCAATCTCAGCTTTACTTACTTCACCCCGAAACCACCATCTAACGATTTATATACATTAATATATAGCTGTTGTTTAAATATGAATGGATGTGTGGGTGTGTGTTGTGCGTGCGTATGTGTGGTGCGTGTGTGTTTTTGTCTGTCCGTTATTATTTTGATTATTTGACTGGTTCAGAAGTATTATCTGAATGTATTTCATTCGAGTTAACATTTTTATAAAATTTCGATATAGTATTTGAATGCATTGAACGCTGAAATTGAGTCTCTTAATTCTCTAACCTTTGAACCTTATTTTTATTAATGACTTAGTTAAGGGTGGCCTCTCCACAAGTTTATTTTAAACTTATTTGATCCTCTATAATGAAAATAAAATAAAAATAAAAAATAAAAAAGACATACATACACACAAAATTACACAAATTTATGTTTGTATAACAATAATAACACAATCAATATATATATATATATATATATATATATATATATATATATATATATATATATATATATATATATATATATATATATATATATATATATATATATATATATATATATATATATATATATATATATATATATATATATATATATATATATAAACATTTATTTATTATATTATTCACATAAATACCTACATACTTGTTTAAACATAAAAGTATAAATTATACACCAACACACACACACACACGCACACACACACACACACATACACACACGCACGCACACACACACAACACATACACACATACATACATATTGGGGAAAACCCGAGATAATTTCCATATAAAGATGAGAAGATGTTACACTATCACATATCAACATGAAATAGAAAGCCAAGCTACGCTAACAACGATCGATAATATGTTGAAAAAATGTTAGCTTGATCACGCGCACACATATATATATACACGTACACACACACACACACATATATATACACACACACATATATATACACACACACATATACACACACACACAAGACACACTAAGACATACTTGCACATACACAACTCGTAGACCTAAATACATAGCTATTTATAGCTATACATTTTACACGTATTAAGAAATTGTTTCTTTTAATTTTAAGTTGCTAACCAAATGACTACACCAAACACGTGCTCACACACATACACACACACACGGTCACATACACACACACACTGTCACATACATATATACATACATACAAACACACACACAACAAGTTACAAACCCAATTGTAAATTCCATCCTTTATCATGGAGTTATTATTTCGAGTATTGAATGATGTTCTGTTGATTATGATAATGATCATTTAGTTGTTGCTGCTGATTATGATAATGATGATGACGTTGTTGTTCAATATGTTGTTGTTGTTTACTAGGGGTTTATTCATTTCCAAATCAATATTATCACTGATAAAATTGTTTTTATTACCACAAACCAAAAAGAATTATTATTATTATTGTTGTTGTTGTTGTTGATGATGATGATGTTGTTGTTATTGTTGTTGTTGTTGTTGATGTTGTTGTTGTTGATGATTTTGTTGTTGTTGTTGAGGATGTTGTTGTTGTTGATGTTGTTGTTGCTGTTGTTTTTGTTGTTGCTGTTGTTGCTGATTTTGTTGTTGTTGTTGCTGCTGCTGTTGTTGTTAGTTACAATCGATAATGAAACTTTGGCGGGCAATTATATGGTCGATAATTAAACTTTATTTAGTTTCCTATGCACTCGGCTCATCCTATCACGTAATCGATACAATTGCTTACTAGTAAGTATTATGACTTCTTTGGTCTTTGCGATAAATACAACCATCAAGAAATGCTACTACTAATAATGACATTAATAACAGTAGCAGTAGTAGCTGTAGTAGTAGTAGTAGTAGTAGTAGCAGCAGCAGCAGTAGTAGTAATAGTAGTAGTAGTAGCGGCAGTAGTAGTTGTAGCTAGTAAGAATGATGCTTATAATGATGAAGATACCAATTGTTTTAACATTATTACAATCATTAGTTTTTTAATTATTAATTAATAATTTTTTTATTAGTATTAATTATCAATGTTTAATAATAATAATAATTAATTATTATTAATTAGTAATTATAATGCGATATATTGCTGCTGTTGGTAATATTGATGTTGTTGATGTGGATGATTGGTTCATATTTTAGTTTTGATAGCTTGATAGATTGTCTTATCAATAAAATAAAATTTTCATTATTAACCATTTTGTGTTGAGTGGTAAGAGTGTGTGTGTGTGTGTGTGTGTGTGTGTGCGTGTGTGTATACGTGTGTGCGCGTGTGCGCGTGTGTGCGCGTGTGCGCGTGTGTGCGCGTGTGTGTGCCTGTGTACGTGTGTTTAACGCCTAACGTGTGATATATGAATCTGTAATTATAATGATGGTAATAAAACATAATTATTAGCATTGCTGGCGAGCATGTGGGGTTAATTCATGCTTTCAAGTGTCGATAATAACATAATAAAAAACGCACGGTCGAATTTATGTGTGGGCCATCCAGAAGAGGGCCCCCACAAAAATGAGCCAACCACGAACAAAAAAGGGTCTTTACAGGAAATACAGAATAAAAACATCAATTCTAGTTACAAACGCTGACTTTTATAAAAAAAAATGTTAAAAATTGAAATAAAGTCTCCACCTTATTTTCAATACAAATCATTTTATCATTATTATATTAAGTTTAATTATTTAAATTATAAAATAGATAATTAATAAGTAGGTTTAATTAATCATATTTCATTATTGAAATCAATCATTTGAGGAATCACGCCATGCCAGTTTGATTTGGATATTGATATTGTTAATAGCGAAATAAATTTCTATTGATGAACCTCTTGATGAATCGTTCTGACTGACTCACCTGTTAATTTTTATCATCGTAGCTATCCTTAATAAAATCGTCGTCGTCATCATCATCAACATCAACAACAACATCATCAACATTTTCATTATTATCTCTACTCTCAACATCATCTGATTATCACCTAATTACTCCATCCAACACCCAGTAAACTGTCAATCTCTACCCTAAGTACGGTGGTGAAATCAGGGCTAGTAGGGGGTGGAATCGGGATAGCCTTCTCCCCAGAACGGGCTAAAAAGTCTCTTGGAATATTTTGCAATAGTAGACATTCAAGTTTTTCTATTCATCTCTCGAATGAAATATAAATAGGCGTGAAAATATTTCTCACTCGCTTGGCTGGAAAATTTAGTTCAAATGGTCTAATGTTTTCTTTTTCATTTTAATTGATTCATTTTGCGACATTTATTTATTTATTTAGTGTAATAATAATAATAATAATAATAATAATAATAATAATAATAATAATAATAATAATAATAATAATGTTTAATTATGGGAAATATTATTAACTAATTATTTAATTTTAAGGTAGTTATAAATTCATATTGTAAATTCATTTCACTGTGATTTTTTTTGTAACATAACATTAATTAAATTGAAAATTGATAATGCCAAATTGGACTAACCTGTCAAATTAGACTAACTATACAAAAACCCAACTGGTAACTAACTATACAAAAATCCAACTGGTAATCGAAGGACCCAAAACATTTTGACTCTAAGCAAAAGGATTCGTCAGAGCTAGAAGAACTTTGAAAGGAATTTTTTAAAAAGATATCTTGTTAAATTTAATCTTAACCCAAATAAAATCATACATTGTGGGGAGGGTTTGGCCCCAAAGGCCCTTTCTTGGATACGTCTCTGGGTGTCACATATAACTCCAGCACCAACGTCGAAGTTGTTGGGTAAACAAAAGAAAAGAGAGCAACAAAACAGCAACGCATACACAAAGACACAAATTCACAAACAAAACTGACGCATTAACAACATCTATAGAATCCATTGCAATTGCTATCAAAGGCAGCCGTAGAAGTAGAAGCAATAACATCTCTCTCCATCCTCATCATTGTCTACAGCAACAACAACAACAACAACCACAACAACAACAACAATCATTATTATTGTCTACAGCAACAACAGCACAACAACAACAGCAGCAGCAACAACAACAGCAGCAGCAACAACAACAGAAGCAACTGCAGCAGCAACAAAAATAACAACAACAACAGCATCAGCAACAACAACAACAACAGAAGCAACTGCAGCAGCAACAAAAATAACAACAACAACAGCAGCAGCAGCAGCAACAACAACAGAAGCAACTGCAGCAGCAACAAAAATAACAACAACAACAGCAGCAGCAGCAGCAACAACAACAACCTAATCCCCACAACCCATCAATATCGCATTTCCTCCATGCAATTAACTACAATGGACAATTCAATTCCTGCAACTTAATCCTACCGGCTTAGTTGCATCACATCAATTTTTGTTGCTGTTGTTGTTGTTGCTGCTGCTGATGTTTTTGTTGAGACTGATGTTGTTGTTGTTGATGATGCTGATGTTGTTGTTGCTATCAATTGATGTTCTTGTTTAATGAATTTTTATGATAGTATATGTTGTTGTTGTTGTTGTTTTGTGTTATTGATGTTGTTGTTTGTTTGTTGCTGTTATTTATGAGTGCAATTTGTTTTTGTATGTGGGTGATTTGTTGGGTTACGTATTCTGTTGACGTTTTCGGTGGAGTTGTTGTGTTTGTGTTTAGGTTTATGTTGTTGTTGTTGCTGTTGTTATTGTTGTTGTTGTTGTAGTTGTTGTTGTGGTTGTTCTATTTTTATTTAAAGATTTTAAATGATTTTTTCAAATTTTTAAATTTAAAAAAAAATTAAATTTTCACAAATGAAAGAATCGACAAGAAGATGCCGTAATGTTTTCAATTATTAAGAGGCATCCGAATGT